GGCTGAAATGATTATAAAAAAGACTTTTTGTGTATGTGTGTGTGTGTGTGTGTGTGTGTGTGTAACAGAAACTTATAAAATAATGCTCCCTATTTATTTCCATGGAAACTAGAACAGATAAAAAGAGGGCAAGTCTTCAACCATAAATCACTATTTTCCACAGAGATAGCATCATTGGTGTTGTATTTTTGTTAGAAATGAACAAGAACTTGTATGCTTTGCACATTCACATGGATGTCTGCCATACACTAGTTCCATAACTGCTGAAATGCATTAATCACTGCCTCACTGTGCTCATATCCATGGTTTGATTTCTGTAAATTGATGAAATATTCTGGTGTATAACACATTTATATGCATTTTCATGCCAGACACCATTTTGCCAGACTACTGTTCAGCTGCTATTTAGAACAAGGCAAAAAAATTCATGTTATTGGCAGAAAAGTTCAACCTCTACTGCCTCTACTACTAAGTCCAACAATAATATAGAGTGATTCTTACATACTATATATATATATATATATATATATATATATATATATATATGTGTGTGTGTGTGTGTGTGTGTGTGTGTATGTATGTGTATTTGTTGTGTGTGAGGGGGAGATGGTGAAAAGTTCTCAGGCTAGCTTACTTCCCAAAATCTCTTCAAACCAAAAATTTTTGTAGGGATGACTTTTTGTTAAGTTGACAATTTTTCACCACCTTCTTGTATATAAACTTCTTTGTAGATATATGTATGAGGCACATTGACACAAAAGCATATATACTCATGTGACAAACAATTACACACACACACACACACACATATATATATATATATATATATATATATATATATGCTGTAATGGTTAGAGTATCTCCTTGTATATATATATGTGTGTGTGTGTGTGTGTGTGTGTATGAATATACAGGCACACAGGTATAAAAGCATATATGCATCTGTGACAAACAACTTGCACATATGCATACATGTATGTATATATATATATATATATATATATATATATATATATATATAATTACATGGAATAGCAAACAAGAAAGCCACTAATCAATTTTCTCATCCAATCACTAACAGTTTTCAACAGATTAAAAATTATTCTATTGCAAATATATATATAATTTTTTTTGAATCCTTATTTGTTTCCATGTCTATTTATTCTCTCTATTGTTCATCATAATTATTCTTTTCTTTTTGACAATCTTATTTTCTTCTTCAGCAGCTGGACGGATTTCAACAAATTTCCACAGTTTTTTTCTATCTAGAATTTTTATTCTTGTTGTTGAGTGGAAAAGCAAAACAAAAAGAAACAAGTTAGATTTCTTTCATTCATTTTAATGGTTCAGTTCTTCAGACAACAAAACGTGTCCATAGCTATCAACTTTTTTAGATTGCAAAAGTTTTCATCTCCAGACACGAAAGTGGGTGGGGCTGCAACATGTAGGTTTGTGCATGTTCAAATACAATATGTTTGCATTTTGCCTCTATCCAAAATTTTACATGCATATAAACAAATATACATATATATATACACCTGCATAAGCAGACCTATCATCTCTCTACATTAGGTCAAATTTTAGTATGCATATATCTCACAATATGTATTGGCAATAATGAAATGACATTGGTAACATTTTCAATATATAATTATATTTATATGAACAAGATATCACAGGAGTTTCAATTAATAATTTCTGTCAATGTTTAAAATATTGATAATAAATTTTATAAGTTTTATTATGCAAACAAAGTTTGATATAAATATTTATTTATAAGGCATACAAAATTATATAAATATATATAACATAATATTCCATATACCAAAATAATTTAATATTTTATCATCTTACAAGGCTTACAACTATATGACATTGAAACATTGGTTCTTGTATGATTACTGAAGTTAAGCAACATCAACCCTGGTTAGTATCTAGATGGGTGACTGCTTCAGAATAACAGCTTAAATATGAAGGTGGTGCAGTTAATTTTTTTAGAATGGGAAATCAGAGAGTCAAGTTCAAATTTCAGTTGTGTTTGTTATATTAATTTACTGGAAATTAACCTTGAGAAAAATATGAATTTACTTCTTATCTCCCCACATCTATAGCTTAATTTCTAGGATTTTTATAAGTAAATTATTATTATCTCCCCCACCACCGAAATTCTTACAATCTAAAAATATATTCTGGCATTAAATAACTTGTAAAAGGTTGATAAGCTATAAAAAAAAGCCATAAAAATCACTCAATCAATAAATTTATCATTTTACACATAAATATAGACTTAAACAATAAGCTTTATAAATCTTTCATTCATTGATTTTTTTCCTTTTTCTTTATTTTCAATTTAATCGACAACAGGTTTTCTTGCTTGAACATTGTTTTTCATTCTTATATGGATCTTTTTTGATGACTACAAGTTTTCTATTGTATCAATATCTGAAAAAGCTGAGTACTTTTTCATTAATTTGGTATCTTTGGAATTTCTTTTTTGGCAAAGTGGGCTTTTCAGAATATGAAGAAGCATTTTCATGCATGAATATTTTCTTTATGTTAAAGCTTCTTGGCTGTGGCTTGTACCACTCAAAAAATGTCTTGTTCAAAATAATTCTCACATTTACCTTGATACCCTTAACTTTTGAAGGGACTGATAATTTTATTGCCCAAAACATTACTCCCTCTCCTCCTTTTGCTTTCTTAGTTGGTTGAATATTTTATGAAGGTTCCAATGCAAGTCCATCCAATATAGCTCTGGATTCATCAATAAAAAATTAGACCGGTTGACATTTTTTTCAACCCAAATGTTGTTGAACAATGGGCACATGTCTTTGGGTTAATTTTTCACACTGAATCTGAAAACCAAGTCCATTTTGCCCCATCATATCATGTTTTCTCAGTACAAACAATTTCTATTTTGCTTAAAATAAATGTCAGCTATTATATATATCCATTTACATATTATCTATTAACAATATGATGAACAATCTGAATTTTAAAATAAAATCTCACGCCACAAAATACATAATTGTAAATCAAACCATATTATAATTATCAATGTATATTTATTTATATATTTCCTGTCCCATCTGTAGTGGGAAGGGAGGTCATTTTAATAACCTATACAAATAAAATATTTATCTGCACAAAATTTAAACAAAATTAGTTCTTGAACAAAATGAACCATTTATTTAATCAGTTCTTTTACTCCCATGTTTTTTAGAATGCAGTCTTATTTGTTTAAGCCTTTGATGTGAAGCACTCAGATAAAAGAAAAGAGCCAATGTAACAAAACTAGAGCTCTTTCTAGTTGTTACACCTTCAGAAAAATATGTCTGTATAGATTGTGAATCTTTGAGGGACTTGATGGTTATTTTAGAGAATTGCTGCACATATTGGATGTGAAAAATTGGTGGTGCTTTGGTGTTAGCAGCTGAGATCATATATATATATATATATATATATATATATGTTTGTCAGTGTATGTGTGGATGTTTGTGGAAGAAAAGTATGTTTGAATGTAGCATAAGTAGTGAAACATGTAACATATGGCTCCATTTAATAAAAATGCTTTTGAGATTGAAAAAAGGAAGAAAATAGGAAATATAGAAACTGAAATTTTTTAATTTATTTCAGGTTTATTGTTTGGGAGATTTTGAAGGAAGAACTTTGCATGCATTTTAAATTAATATTTGTTCAAACTAATTGACAATTTTGCTGCTTGAGCTTAAAAAATAACTACTAAATATGCATACAATATGTACATACACACACACACAATCATTTGGTGTCAATTAATTTTATTGACTATCTTTTCCAAATTGGGAATAATCCTTCTCAAAAAAGAGGAAATTACATCAGGAATTGTTTAAAGTTCATTTAGGAAAAATTATGGTCCATACTCTCGACTTTCTTAAGTCATAATCAGTGTAGGTAGACACAAATGGTAAGTTTCATAGAACTAGTGAGTGTTGTGCTGTACACAGAGAGAGTTGTGATGTAGGTGAAGTGTGACTTATGTGTGTGTGCTTTTTATATACATTTGAGGATATGTGTTCTTAAATTATTATTGTTTTTATTTTATCGAAGGCTATATATATATATATATATATATATTTATAGTATATTGCTGCAAGGATAATAAGTCTGTTTTGACTGTGATTTTGCTAGTATTTTTGTGAGTAGATGGTCTAATGTTACTATGATCCTTACGCTGCTTATTAATGTTTTGTCTGATGGCACTCTGGTCAACATAAGTTGTATGGATATGATTTTGTGAGGCTTTTCTGGGTTTCATGCTTTTGAAATCATCAGACAAACTAGTTTATTTTTAAAATTGGATCTATATGCATATGTATATGTGCCAGAATACACAGATATGTATCCACACCTAGCCTCAAATGGCTTATATGGATGTGTTGGTGTGAATTAAAATGCGTACACCTGTATGTATGTGTCTATGCATATGATAGTGCCACTCCAAAAATGATGTCAATCTGAGAACAGTGCAAAGGATTCAGAAAGAGTTGGATGATATATCCAGTCAATATCATGGTGTTATGCCTCTATTCATCTTCCCAGTAGGGCTCAGACTTAATATAGAGGACTATTCAAGTGCCTTAAAGAGGTAGTGATGCACTTGACCAAGAGAGTGGCTGCTGGAAGACCTTATATCTGGCAACAGGACTCTGCACCATGTCACACAAGCAGGAGAACCCAGTCATGGCTTTCAGACAATTTCTGCAACCACATCATCCATTACATCTGGCCACCTAACTCACCAGACTGCAACCCCCTTGATTATTATGTGTGGGGCACATTTTCGCAAAAGACCAACAAAATCTTTGTAACACTAGAGATGAACTGAAGGCAAGGGTTATGGCAGCATTCACCATCTTAAACAAGGAGACCGTCCAGATATTTCATGTAATTTTGGTAAATATATCTGTTAAAATGAGATGTCAGTGTTATTTTAATTTTTGCGTAATTTAGACAACAATTTATCCACCAAACACAAGATAGGTAAGGGAAACAGATAGATAGATAGATACAAACAGACTGATAGATAGATAGGTAGATAGATAGATAGATATGAACAGACTGAGATAGTTAGATACAAACAGAATAAGATAGATAGATACAGACTGAAATAGATAGATAGATACAGACTGAAATAGATAGATAGATACAGACTGAGATAGATAGATAGATACAGACTGAGATAGATAGATAGATATGAACAGACTGAGATAGATAGATACAGACTGAGATAGATAGATAGATACGAACAGACTGAGATAGATAGATAGATACAGACTGAGATAGATAGATACGAACAGACTGAGATAGATAGATAGATACGAACAGACTGAGATAGATTATACGGACAGACTGAGATAGATTATACGGACAGACTGAGATAGATAGAGATAGATAGATAGATAGATAGATAGATAGATAGATAGATATGAACAGGCTAAGATAGATACATTTGCAGAGAAAGAATGAGAGATTCAATTGCTCTTCAGCTTTTACATTTAGAATTTTAGAATATTTTAATTTTAAAAATTTTTTCTTTCTGCTTTAATTTTCCTAATTTCTTTCATGTTTTTCATTCTCAGAAAACTTTGCAAAGTGTTCCATCCCGTTCACACTTTGCTTCATTCTTGTTCCTTATTTAATCTATCTTCCTCAATGTCTAGATTTTTGGGGGGATTTTTTTATCTTCCATTTCTTTCTTGTTTATATTGTTTTGAAATTACTCAGCAAACATATCAAAGAAGAAGACAAAAAGAACACTTTGTGAATCCAGATTGCAATATCATGAAATATTCCAGTGTTTTCTGTGGAAATTGTTGCCAAGGGCATTTTAATAATATGTTTGAAGAAAATACAAGTGAATTGAGCATGCTTTACTTCTGTTATCTTTTTCACACATTTTTGCCTTTCATTGCATATACACAATCAAATGAGTTTGTGTGTGTGTGTGTGTGATTGGCTACATTTATAGAGATGAGTGTGTTGGGGCATGCGTGGATTATTTCGCACATCAGACAAGAAAAAATAAAAAGATATATGATAACAACAGCAGCAATGAACAAAAATCTTCAAGAGAAAGTACTGAACTAATACAGACATACATAAATATATATATATATATATATATATAAAAGGAATTTACAAATTAGAAATATTTGCAAAGTTCAATTTTTTATTAGCATCGCTATCACTATTGCCACCCTCACTAATACTACCACCACTATCATCATCAATGCCACCACCACCACCATTGTTGATATTATTTCATCTTTTTATTTATATTTCTGCAGTAATTCTCTCTTTTTTTTTCTTCTTTCTTTACATTTTGCTGTTGCTTGTTTCCTTCATTCTTTCAAACCTCTACTTCACCTTTTCTTCCCCATTGAAGATAAAGACTTGTTTGATTGTATCTGCACACAAGAAGGTGGTGGCGGTGGGGGGAGGCGTAACGAAAACGTTTATTAGGGTTTTGCAAATCGGTTGTGGAATTTTTGCCTTGTATTCATCCTGGAAATTCTGAAGAGAAGTCTTGCAATTTTGAGGTATTATTTTTGGTTCTTGGATGAAACTGGAAAAGTGGGGAGGCATACTAATAAAATATATATTTTCATCAATTTTATCTCAACTTATTCATTGTTATAAATTGCTAATTGTAAAAACCCCACCTCCACCACTACTCTCACTCTCATCGGGAACTGTAGTAGCAGCAGTTCAATTCATCTATTCTTTTTTTGGATGATGATGATAATGATACATCATCATCATAATAATAGTAGTAGTAGTAGCAGTAGGTATGACTGGGTAGGAAAGTTGATCCATTAAAAACTGTGCAAGACATTACAAGAATCTATTTGAAAGAATGGAACACATAAATTATAATAATAATAATAATAGTAGTAGGTATGACTGGGCAGGAAAGTTGATCCAATAAGAACTGTGCAAGAGATTACATGAATCTATTTGAAATAATGAAAGACATAAATTATAATAATAATAAAATTAGTAGCAGTATGAGTAGTAGCTATGACTGGGTAAGAAAGATGATCCATTAAGAACAGTGCAAGAGATTAAATTTTGACTACGCAAGTCACTGGTAAATGCACAGACAAGAATCTCTTTGAGAGAATGAAACATAAATTCTCTAAAATTACGATATTCAAATGTTTTACTCAATTCAGGCCAGAAAAACTAAACTTCATATAAGTAAATGATAAGAAATAAACATTCTAGATAGTAGATTATGTTTTTCCAATGAACAATTGGAACTGAAGAAATTATGGAATACCAATGTGACAGTTGTGCTAGTCTTTATTTTTATTTTTATAATAATGTTCACCCTGTACAATGCAGAAGAGTCACTGAAGGTAGAGGGTTTGTCAGAGTTAACTCCTCCTTCAGTCCATTAACCCTTTCACCAGGGGTCTCTCTTCCCTGGCTATAAATAGCCGCTGACCCTTCACCTCTATCTCTTTTTCCTTCAGGCCTGTGCACTAACACCTTGAGTTAAATTTCTCTTTTTCCTAGAGGATTTTCAGCTATCAACCTCGAAATGTAGTCGCTAACAAGGGATAGCGTGGAAACACGCTAAGCATAATATTCACACACGCACGCACATACAGAATATTCACACACACGCATTTCCATTACAGAATATTCACACACACTTCGTCCTTTGTACTGTTTCCATGTATTGTAACTTGTTATTAATATATATTTGTGTATACATATATTATCAGTCTTGTTTTGTTTGCTTTCTTTACCTTCTACTTGATTATTTCTCTTGTTGTTGTCTTTGTTACATTTGATATTGTAAAAATTGTAGAGGGTCGGTTTTTATTTCTATTTATAACCAATACAAATTGGCTGACCCACTATAGGTTACACAGTAAGAGTTAAGGGGCACAGATTATGAAGATATCTAGGAAAGATAATAGTTAACCCTAGATTTAAACAGGTAAAAGACTGTATGATTGTGAAAGCATTTTCTTGGGAGTTGGTTCCACAAAGTAGCAATTTAAGAAGCCGTTTTACTGGAACTTACATCATGCCAATAAAACACAAATGTAATGAGAGTGTTTTGCTGTAGAAAACAACCTTTAATGTGTGAGGCTTAGCTGGTCTTAATTGTTTTAGAACTATCAGAACCAAGGAATGTAGTTCACTTGAATACTTTCCAGAATAGAGTAGTGATAAACCTGCAAAGATGTTGTTTGGTTTGGTTTATTTTGTTTTACAGCATATCAACCTCAATGTGTTATTTAATGCTGACAAAATTTTTTATAGCTGGTAATATTTTGTTTTGTCAAAAATCTGTGTCTGGTAATACCTTTTCTTCAAAATTGTATTGCTGGTAATAATTTTTTCCAAAAAGTATTGCTGATAATAGTTAACTATTTGCTCATATCAGGGACCCTAACAGGTGCTACCACCCCAGGTCAGGGTGGACCTGGGAACACCAGCAATTAATAGGTGGTTCCACACTCCTCAAAACCTCCTTGCTGCTGGATGTAGTTTAACGTCTTACCCAGGAGACGGATATGGTTTAACATCTTACCTAGGATGAAGTAAGGTGTTGTAGGGTGGAAATTAATTCATCACTCACAAGCCCACATAGATGCTTTTGGACTCCATCGAGAATAGAAAGTGAAGACTGTACCACTCCTGCCCATATTTGGCAGCAGTACTTCATTTTCGGCTTGATCTAGCATTTTTAAAGGTAGATGATAGCAGAAGGAGTCAAGTACTTACTGGAGTAATACAGTGACCCAACCATTTTATTTTTGAAACACTAAGAATTTTCACAAAGAGCATAGGTAAAAAACTGGAATAAGTAGATATCAAGGGAAAAGTTGGTTCCATCATTTTGATGGCATTGTTGTAAACAATTAAGATACTGAAATAAGTGCATGTGTATTGAAGAAGCTTGCTGTCAATTAATTTCCAATGTAGGCCACTAGAAATGACTGGTGTGAACTCTCAGTGAAATTATAAGGAAATCTAGATAAATATATAGACATTGCCAGAAAACTAGAAATGGAACATAAATATAAAAGTCATACCATTATAACTGGACCCCTAGGAACAGCCAAAAAGATATATGGATATATATATTTTACCCATTTTTGACAAAAGGAAGGAGAATTGCATAACCTAAAGAATGCTGTCCCTACAGTGACAGGTGTATAATGTTTTGAGGGGGATGCTTCTGTATGTCCAGAATTGGGAATCTTGTGTGGGTGAAAGGGCTCATGAAGAAAGAATATTCAAAAAGCATTCAGCAGAAGATTTTGGTTTATGTAGTCAGTTCACTTTCAATATGACAACAGAGGATAATCCAACACAAATTTGACTTCTACAGAAGAGACATGTCAAAGCCAGAATGAAGTTTGCTAACAACCTGGAGAAAGATGATGCAATCTGAAAGCATGTCATTTGATCAAATGAGATGGAATTAGAGCTCTTTGGCCATAAAGATATCACCTGTGTTTGGAGAAAGAAAAGAAAATTATGAATTCCAATGGTAGCATTGGTATAGTCTTGTGGGAATGCTTTAGAGTGTTTGGAATTGGAAAACTTTAAGGGTGAAGAAATCAGGAAGAATTAAGAATATGAACAGGTTTTGAAAGAAAATCTAAAATGATGAGGAGCAAAATTTCTTTTAGGTGCCCATTCTGTATTGCAATATGACAATGTCAAAGTATATATCACTTCTCTTGTGGAACGAATTCATGACGGTTTAAGTAAATGTATACTGACCGACATGCACAACTAGGCTGTATGCAAGAATTATTTCCCGTTAAGAATCCTCTTGCTTGAATTTCTTTTAATTCAACCATAATTTCAGAAACTTTAGAAAAAGCCTCAAAATGGCTATGGATTAAAAGTTCAGATCTATGGAGTTCTATGATGGAGAAAATATAAAGAGAGATGAACAAGATCCAAGATCACTGTTTGACGGGTGGGTCATTTCTTTTTTTTTTCTTTTTTTTCTAACCTGTCCTCTGACAATGTCTTGGTGTTTTCAGTAGGGTTTTTTTTCTTTCCTGTCCGGGAAGGGTAAAGGGGCGAAGGGAAAAAATGCGTAGGAGAAAAAAGAAAAGCAAGAAACATTTCTGATCATAATTCCTATGACCAATGAATGTGTATGAATTTATTTTTGTTTCTTTTTTAGTGAAGTATCATTTCATAGAAAATAAAATCTTTCCTGGCAACAAGTAAAAATTGCTTACCTGTTATGTCAAGCAGTGTTCATTGAGAGTGTGTGTGTCTTTCTGCATGTTAGGCCTAAGAGGGAAAAGATGAGCATTCACTTTCTTCTCTTTTTGTCTCATCTTGGCTGAGAAGGAAAGAAATTTCTGATTGGGTGCTTGCTATTTCAAGATCAGCAGTGGAAATTCTTTATATGTGCGTCGTTGTGTGTTTGGTGGATTTTTGCTT